TGCAAGCTGCTATGGGGGCCTTGGGCCTTCTCTTGGAAGTTCTGGGTCTGTCTGGCCCAGCTGCAGTTTGTTAGGTAATTTTCATATTGCAAAGGGCCAGGGCATTCATATGCAAAAGCCTCTGCTGCAGCTTGGGTGGGGCGGGGTCTCAGGGAATCAACAGGGCGGAGCAAGCAGCTATGGCTGATCCTCAGCCCTGCACTAAGTGGCTCCGTGTCTCAGTGTCCCTGTAATCGCTGCAAGCACCTTTGAGAGAAAGCTGCCCTTAAGTTCCGAGTTCTGCCCGCTGCCAGGCAGTCCAGTTTCTCCCTGTATGAGTCTGGGTCCCCAGAGACTCACCTGGAACTGGAGTTCAGAGCAGTCAGGGGCTTGTGACTCCCTCCCGATTCAAAAAGACAGCCGCGTCCTCAGTTGCCAGCCCTTGCTGCGTGCGCCTCTGTACCTCTGCACTTCCGCATCTCCTCTGAGTCTCAGTGTGCTTTTCTCTTTCCTTCTAGTTGTAGAATTTCCACTCAGCCAGCCTTCCTGTGGTTCTGGATGATGTCCTTTTTGTCTTTTAGTTGTATTTTTGAATTTGTTTTGGGAGGCAGCAATTTCCGGTGTTTACCTATGCCACCATCTTGGCTTCTCCTTGAATTCCAGGTAATTTATTTGGATGTTCTCCCTCCAAGGGGTGCAGCTTGGCTCCCCCTGATTGTGGACTGCACTTAGTGACTTGTTTCCAAACAACAGGGTATGGAGAGGGGAAAAATAGCACCTTCACATGGAAAAACCTGGAAACTCCATCTGAAGCCAGTGATCAAGGTCCCTATCACAGTGTGAAGTCATGTGGGAGGTCCCGTGCCCCCCTGAGAGGATCTGAGGAGAGGCGCACCTCTTCTTGTTGGCAGGCGCCTCTCCAACCCACAGCCCCAGGCTGGTCATGAGGAAAACATCAGGAAACACACAGGAACAAATTAAGGGACATTCTGCAAAGCCCCTGACCAGCGCTCCTCAGGACTGTCAGTGTTGTGAGGACAAGGAGAGCTTGGCCACTTGTGACAGAGAGGACCCATGATGGCTAAATACAATGTGAATCCTGGGTGGGGTTCTGGAACAGGCAAACACAAACACAGGCAAAATCCAAGTCACGCCTCCAGTTTTGTTAGCAGTAACTCAGCAATGTTGTTTTCTTAGTTTTGAAAAGTGTATCCATGATAATGTGAGGTGGTAGCGTTGGGGGGATTTGAAACTGGCTGAGGGATTGATGGGAAATCTCTGCTGTTTTTACAACTTTACTGTAACACTCACACACAGAGGCAGAATAGAGCGGAAAGACACAGCAACATTTTAAAAGTAAATACATGTGGGTGGTGGGGGAAAAATGCCTGTCCTCTTTTTATTTGTCAAATGTCTTTAATTGGGGTTTATTCCTTTTATTTTAAACTCATTGTTATTTCTGATTAGATGTCATCTATTACTTTTGTAGTGACAAAAAGTGAAGTAACGCGTTTTGCATAATGCCTACATCATCGCATTTAGCCCTTCAACCGGCTAAGCACGCTAAGGTTCTTCCCCCTATCTTATAGATGGGGAAACAAAAACTCAGAGAATCGAAGTGATTTGCCTCAAGTTATGTAACAAGCCAGAGGAGGAGCTAGGATCTGAACCTGTGGATCTGACTCCGGGGCCAGGGAAATGGAAAACTGTCTTCTTGTGGGGTCAGGAGGAGAGATTGGACTCCCCTTAGTAGATTTCCTTTTGGCCCAGGGAATATTTCTTTTAAAGTAAAGCTTTTTGAAATCTTCAATATAGGCATTTAAAAATATATTTTTATTGATTTCAGAAAGGAAAGGAGAGGGTGCCTCCTGCACGCCCCCTACTGGGGATGGAGCCCACAACCTGGGCATGTGCCCTTGACCAGAATCCAACCTGGGACCCTTCAGTCCACAGGCCGACGCTCTGTCCACGGAGCCAAACCGGCCAGGGCCCAGGAGGACTTTTCAACTAGAATTGTCCGAGGGGCATGAGCGTCCTGCAAAGTCCGGTCCGTAGAGGACCGTGAAGTGCCCGGAGAGGGACTCGGAGACCTGACGCATCTTCCCCAGATCCGAGGGGCCGGGCTGCGCCTCTC